ACGAAATGCTCGTTGTCCTGGATTCCACTTCTAGTCTCCATTCACCAGTTAACTTCTGAGTATATCAGTATGCTTATGCAATTATATACACAAAGTATTCTATTGATAATAAAAACGCAGAATAAATTGTTTAGGAAAGGATAAATCTCAGTGAATAAATATTCAGAAGGGAGAATAATGCAAACTGATGAACTAAATATGGACATTCATTCATTTACTGTCAGACAGTCAATAGTCACGGATGCCTTTTATTAAATTTCTCAATAAAAAGCAGGATATATACCTTAGGTGTATCCATCACCATTTCGTGAGCCAAAAGACTGTCTTTATAGCACTAGGATAAAATAATGATTAAGTAAATTAAAAGATTCAATAGCTCTCATTTAGGATAGGATTTAAGCTCTCTGGCAGAGTATACCAAAATAACAATTCCTATAAAGTTCATTAATAAATTCCAGAAAACCCCGTAATAAGAGAAAAAACAGTACTGAAAATAATAACTATAGCAAAATAGGAAGGAAGGAAGGAAAGAAAGAACATCTGAATAAAGCTGAAATTAGAGTAGCCTATAAAGCTACAAGCGAGCCCGAATAGCTCAACGGTAAGGTCTCTGACTGCAGCGCTCACTGGGTGACGCGGGTTCGAATCGTGCGTTAGTGGCATAGCGGTTAGGACGCTCGCCGACCATGCACATGGTCCGTGGTTCGATCCCCGGCCACCGAAACACTCCTTTACCTCGCTAAGCCAGAAATAATGCTGGTGAAGAGGAACGGTTGGGCTTGAGAGGCTAGCAACCCCATCCTGTAAAAATAAACACTGCTACAGAAACTTCAAGCGACTAGCTTGAAGCCCTATGTTCCACTGGGGAACGTGAAGGAAAAAAAATAGAGTTACAAACCCACCCAAGGATGTTATAAGGTCCTGTTGACTCATTCAAATTAAATAGCCTTGCAATAATTCTGAGGTGGACTACATAAGTCGGCAAGGGGATTGGTGAGGTTATTGGATCAACGGAATCAAGCTAAGTGTAGAATGATCGACTTGATGAGAATGAATAGTACATAGACAAACTCAGCAATCGCAATGAACGTACTAGGATGCAGTCACACGATAGTGTGAGACAGAGTTACAGTTCGTAAAATGAATGTAGTTAAGTGGAGAAGGAAAAGTGAACTAATTCATAGATTGGTGGTCTGCCTAAAATTTTGGCTACCGAAAACCTCCACCAATATATTGAATATAATTTCCCTCATTTAGTTTGTTTAAATTTACTAAAATATAACTTCTGGTAGTATTTTTTCTTGTAGCGATTATTTAAAACATTTGCAGCCTAGTGATTTTTAATTTTCCACTAAACATAAGAAGAAGTACAATCTTGGATGGCAGATTATCCCAAAATACATGAGATGACTGTTCATGAATGGTATCCTTTGTCCACAAAATGCACTCTTGCACTTTCTGTAATTTGCATGCAACAAAACGTAGTTTATTTCTCAAAGGTAAAAAAAAGAAAAGATATCATAAGTGATTGGGGTTTGCGGTTCAGGTTGGATAGAACTGTGTCACACGATCTCTTGTCAGTTAATCTTTTATTTGAAGATCCTGGACGACGAAGATAAAAATATCATCATGAGCTGACATTAGTTAGAGAACCATTGGAAAACCTGGGAGTACTGGACAGCTGTTTCCTCCGTCCTAGCCTGGGACTCTTCAGCAGTACGCACCCACCGGGATTCGAACGCGGGACCTTCCGATTACAAGGCGAGCTAGGTCGTATATCATTAAGCCACTAGGACCCGATCCAATGGTCCTAGAATTCTAACTTCTGCAATTTCACGATATAGCGCGACCCCTAGCCAATGTCTTCGACGAGTATTTGTCCTCACACCCGTCCTGCTGCACCCTACTGGTCATGACTTCCCACTAGAACCCCAGGTAACTACCTACCTGAATAGGGAAAGTCGCTAGTGAGCATCTCATTGATATTCAAGTGTTGGCTTGTAGGAATTTGGTTGATTGGTTACAGGAATTCATCATGAGCTGACAATTAGTTAGAGAACCATTGGAAAACCTGGGAGTACTGGACAGCTGTTTCGTCAGCCTAGTTTGGGACTCTTCAGCAGTACGCACTGCTCACAATTTTTGTGATATGTTTATGTTAGGTTCTTTCGAATAGAACCTTTATCTACCATGCATAAGTGACCAAGTGCGAAATCCGTTTCCTAATGTAATTCAAAACTTCCGTCACCCACTTGGTGACAGTGTAAGTTGTTTTTTTCATGTGAAAAAATGACAAAAGTGAAAATCATCGTTGATTACAGTTCAGCCAGGTAGTCAAGCTGTGTCGTTCTTATAAACCAATGGTTTTGATGAAAGGTTGAAATTAATTAATCTGTTCTTACGACCAAAGGGTGTGAGACTAGGTTCCATGTTGCTTCTTGTTTTATAAAACCTTTTTGCCTAATGTTTTATAGACATTAGAAAGAAGAGAACACGAAGTTCAGTAAAGATATCTTTTCGGCGATTTCATTCTCAAAAGCTGTACAATCACATTTATATAGATTATTTTATATGGATATCAAACCTACCGAGAGCAGTGTCTTTCCGACTTCTTTTTTCTACAGAATCCCTCGCAATATGCATCGAGAAGCAGGAGCTGTGTGCTCAAAAGAAATTAGTCCAACCTCTACAACTACCATGGACCTAGTTTGGTATGTTCCCTTTGCTTCCGTTTTTTTTCTCTTCTTCGTCTTTTTTCGTTCTCGCTTTTCCTTCTGGGCATTTTTTCGTTCGCTGTGTGTCTGGTCCTTAGTCCCTCAGTCTTCATCAGATCCACCTAATTTTTTTTTCAGTTATAAAAAACAGTTATTTTAAGTTTGTTTCCATGCTCATTTTGTTCACACATGTAATTCGTTCTATCACTGCGTTTCTAAGCCTCTTGTAATTCATATCAAGTTGAAAATAATTACCATCTTTTATTCGCCTTTAAAATTAATTCTACAATTATCAAATATTCATTTTGCATACGTTGTAACTATTTTCTAATCCTATGCAATCTTGTGTCTAAACCCCTTGTAATCTGTATTCGTACCTTCAAACTTTCATATCAAGTTGAAACATTTTATTATCTCCTTCATTACTATGTGGAATTAAACAAATAATAATTGTATCCATGTAAAATAATCTATATAAATGCGATTGTACAGCTGCTTTTGAGAATGAAATCACCGAAAAGATCGCCATCTTTGCTGAACTTCGTGTTCTCTTCTTTCTAATGTCTTATAATCGAAGTCCTCATGGAATTTAGAAGAATAATTCAAACTAGGTAGACTAGGCGTTAGTCATTGTGTCGCAATGGAACCTAAGCATCACTAGGCTAAGTTTTTCCAAAAATCAGTGTCATACAACACGGTATTGCAAATTTCAAGTTCTTCTTGACCTTATTTAACCTCTTAGTTGCCCTTGTGACTCACTATTTCCGAAGCTTTATCACTATTGCTTTTCTATATCACATGCATAACCTTCAAGGTTGCTTGACTAACTGACAAACAGTTTGATAATAAAACTGCTGTTATGGTGTTGATAAATTTCCGAAATTGCTACCGAAAGTATTGATTGTATACGCAAACCACACTTCTTTACGTTTTACTGTGTACTACAATGCTAAAATAGTAAAGTGAATAACAATTACGGTTTTTGTAAGTGGAAAACTGTACTTATTGTCGCTGCGAATTAAGTGTACTCAGGAGATGGATCAAATTTTTTTCGATAAAACTATAAGAAGACGTAGTTAATCTGAATGGTGTCATGTGGTGTGTTTGCACAACACATTTTGGACATTCTGATGACACACGCACTTGCCATACACATTCATATAGAGGGCGATACAGTACAGGTTAATTGTGTACATATGAAGGTCACAAATAAGAGGTAGGAAGTTGACGTAACAATATAAGTTAAGAAAAATAACGAAGAGGGCGAAAATATTAATAAGTAAATTGAACCTTCGTTCTAAAGCGGGGTACTAAGGCGGGTTTAAAACTAACGACAAGTACTTTTTGAACACATAAGACCTTTCCACAGCCAGGACATCAACGAATTGAAGTATTCGACCCAAACTTGTTTTATATATGGGTCTAAAGGTACCACTGAAATCAACCTTGTGACCTGTCCCTATGATGCACTTCGACAGAGATGGTATTGGACATCTTCTTCCAGTACGAATTAATTGTATCTGGTGCTTTTATTTGTTGTTGCCGCCACAACAGAATATTATTATATATCCCTAACCTGTAGAGAGCGATGGGTCCTATTGTGCACCTGTGGCAACACATAAATGTAAACTGGTAAAAGAAACAGGTGGATGTGACACTATCACTAGGATGCTGTGAGAGTTTACGGTGCAACATAGATCTCGTTTCGCCTATGAAAATCAGTCTGGCTGCAAAGTAAGTTCTGTTCTTTGCCGCCACCTTAGGCCTTTGGTTAGTGATCAGACTTTGTTATTCACCCTTGAACGGCAAGCGCGTATAAACATCTATTCTGGGAGCTGGTTGGATCGGTGAAGCCATTTTTTATACTTTTGTAATTTCAAGGAATAGTTCTTATCTGACAATATTTCAGTGAGGTGTTGGGCCACATCCAACTGTGTTTACCACTTTACATGTATGTGTGACCACAGGTTCGTACATAGGGAGGATCTATCGGCCTATACAGGTTGGGGCTACATAAGATTTTTCAGTGTGGCTGCAACAATAAATAAAATCACCGGATACAATTAATTGCTCCTGGAAGAAAATGTCCAATATCATCAATGTCGAAGCACACTACAGACACGGGTCATTAGGTGGCTGTAAACTTTGACTTTGTGATTACAGAGATGAACTGGACACTTGGGGAAAATTTGTTTTTCGCTGTGGAATCAGCCATAATCAACAATCTGCAATGGAGTTATTACATATTATTATAATTGCATAATTTTTTATAGCCCAAATACTTACTCGAGATCCGGAAGGAGCTCTACTTTCAGAAGCTCTTAAGACTGCGGGGATCTGATTGGTTGTCTTGTCCTCAAAAGAACCTGATGATTTAAGACGGAAAAAGATTGAATAAAAAAGGGATTTAACACATATTTTATTTTAAAAAATTCGTTCAAAACATCAACATGATATAGCGGAATAAATCGTATTTGTAATAATATAGACAATAAAAGTTACGCAGTGTTGGTGAGTTGAGTATTTCCACTCCCGTCTAATTAGCACCAAGTGAAGGGATTCAACATTATGCAACTTTATATTATTAGAATATTGGTTTTATATGGTCGTTGTGCAACCTAAGTCTAACACTATCCAGAGAACCACCGAGAAGCATATATGTAGATTAGGCGTCAAGCGTTAGCTAAAGAGATAAAGGCAATCGATCACGTTGTGAAGATACTTTGAGTGAAATGGCTAGTATACGAGTTGCGTATGTCTAGCCATAGCCTCCTCCAGTGGGAAATGTCAGGTGACATAGGATTAGGTTGGAAAAGAGCTAGTGGTAGTCAAATCAAATCTTAGAATCAGCCAATGAAACCATTGACAGTCAGTTTGAGTCACATAGGGAGGTATAGATTGACTGTTTCGTTTAGATCCTTGACATTCTAAGAACCAATGGTGACTGAAGACAACTGGAGATATGGCTCGAAATCTTTCTCAGTAGAGCAGATGAATTCATTCTTTATGATTTACCATATACTCTGTACGTCGGTGGCACAGCGCTTAGAACTCTCACCGACCGTGCACATGGTCTGAGGTTCGATCCCGAGTCGACGCACTCTTTTACCTCGCTAAGCCAGTAGAAAATCTGGTAAAGAGGAAAAGTTAGGCCTGTACCTAGCTAGTATTACTGTATAACCATGTGTGATTTACGAAAATAAAATTTTATCTATAATTGGATATTAAATGACCAGTCTGTTTTACAGAAGAGATTTTTCTGATTGTCTCACTGTTCTAATCAAAGAAAAGTGATATTTCTAACAGGTGTTTTTGGAAATTCAAGGCACCTGGTTATTTCTTGTATGTGCTGAGAGTTACGCACGTTTCTGTGTTGTCGTATATACTTTTGGAACTTGAAACTTCATTTTTTTATTCCTTCATAGGGCTTCAAGCGAGAAGACTGAAGTTTCGGTAGCAGTCGTGCTTATTTTTACAGGATAGAGTTGCTAGCCTCATTTCCAGTCTTCCTTCTTTACCAGCCCCATTAGTGACTTAACGAGGCAAAGCAGTGAGTCGGCTAGAGACTGAACCGCAGAATATATGTGTGACTGACAAGCATTCTACTGCTGTGCCACCGACGCAATAACTTCATGTAAGATACTGAATACAGCACATTTTAAAGGTTTCATGTTAGAAAACAACCTTATAAATGCACTAGTGCTTCGCTGGCAAAGTGGTAGAACGCTCGCCGACCACGTTTGAGGTGAGCAAAATCCACTGCATTTCGACTGCCTCATCCGAACTGATAGATGCTAGAAGACTTATTCCGGCGAGCTCCGAATTCAATGAGGAGCGAAAGCTGCACAAAAGGAAACTTACTAAAAGTCTCCGCAAGGACCGTGAACAGTGGTGGCTGACAAAGGCAAAAGAGATGGAAAAAGCATCGGCGATAGGCAACACTAGGCAACTCTTTAGACTCATCAGGGAAACGGGTGGGAGAAGGCAAATCATAAGTGAGACTATTTCTGAGAAAAATGGCTCCTTAATTAGCTCTCAGGATAGACGCCTTGAACGCTGGAAAGAACACTTTGAGGGACAATTTAACTTGCCTACAGCCACACTGAACCTCCCCGACATCCAGCACACACCCGAATGGGATATAGACACTGGTCCGCCGTCTGTAAGTGAGGTCACAAAAGCTATCAGTAATTTGAAACGAGGCAAAGCGGCAGGACCCGACGGAATTATTCCGGAGGTGTTTAAATATGGGGGTGACATACTAGTTTGTAGATTAACTGAGGTACTAGGCAAAGTCTGGGAATCAGAGACAGTCCATCAGACTGGGGTAAGTCACTTATTATACCGATATTCAAGAAGGGAAACAAGTCCTCGTGTGATAATCATAGGGGGATCAGCCTAACGAACATAGTCTCTAAAATCCTAGGCTCAGTAATCATGCATAGACTAAGCAGAACTCGGGAGGAACAGACAAGGGAAAATCAAGCAGGCTTTAGACCAGGTAGAGGGTGCATAGATCATATCTTCACTCTTCGACAGATTCTAGAACATAGACACACTTTTCGGCGTCCAACAATTGTCATATTTCTTGACTTGAAGGCGGCCTTCGACTCCGTGGATCGAAAGGTACTATGGCAATGTCTGACTGTGAAGGGAGTGCCAAGAAAGTACATTGCACTAATCAAGGCACTCTATTCAAACTCACGTAGTCGTGTAAGGGCTTATGGGGAATTGTCATCTGAATTGGTAACAACCAGTGGTGTCCGACAGGGATGTCCACTTTCCCCATTTCTGTTTAACTTCATCATAGATATGCTGATGGAAGTATCCTTAACTGAACGTAGTGACTTAGGAATCGACTTGTTACCAGGGAATAGTCTTATGGACTTAGAATATGCAGATGACATAGTCCTGTTAGGGGAGGATGCTGACAAAATGCAGAGTCTTCTGAACACCTTGAGCAGCAATCTTCGTATGTTTGGCATGCGATTCGCCCCTGCAAAATGTAAGATGCTGCTACAGGACTGGACCACGTCAACCCCTAACTTAGTGATAGGGAGTGAAGTGATAGAACATGTTGACCACTTCACCTATTTGGGAAGTTGTATTAGCACCAACGGACTGATTGGCGATGAAATCTCAGCACGGATCCGAAAAGCTCGAGCTGCTTTCGCTGACTTACACCATCTCTGGCGTAGGCGTGACATCCGGTTATCAACCAAGGGACGTGTGTACTGCTCATCAGTTCGCTCCGTCCTTCTCTATGGCTCTGAAACATGGCCAATACGCGTTGAAGACATGAAAAGGTTGACTGCTTTCGATCATAGATGTCTGCGATCTCTGTCTCACGTTAGGTGGTTTAATGAGGTAAGTAATGTTGACGTTAGGCGTAGAGTGTTGGGCAAAGAGGGAAAATCAATCGACGAGGCTATAAAGTTACATAGACTAAGATGGCTAGGTCACGTGCTGCGCATGCCTAACCACCGCCTCCCCCGACGGGCATTACTAGCTGATATAGGTTCAGGTTGGAAAAGAGCCAGTGGTGGCCAAACAAAAACATGGCCTCATCAATCCATGAAATCCTTGACAGTTAAACTGAGTCAGGTAGGGAGATGCAGACTCCCGGGTTGGGGCCCTCGGGACTCTAGGAATCAATGGCTGGAGACAATAGGTGACATGGCTCAAAATCGTTGTCAATGGCCAGCGCAGATGTATTCAGTCTCTGTAATCTTTCATATTCCTTTCTACCATTACCCATTCTGTTTCACTCTTATACTTGTCAAACTGTATTGATTCTCTTCACTCATCTTCTTGTCTACCTCTGTGTGCTATTTGGAACGTGGCAACTCGAACTGGTGCACTTCGGTGCCAAGTTCTATGTTGAATCCAGACAGACAGACGTTTGAGGTTCAGGGTTTTATTCGCGTTCAATAGTCAAGCTGGTAGAGAGGGAAGGTTCGGAATGAGGCTGGCAACCTTATCCTCTTAAAATAAACACTGCTACAGAAACTTCAAGTCTCTAGTTTGAAACCCTATATTCCACTGGGAACGTAAAGGCATGAAAAAAACCCAGTTATCCTTTAACAGTGATACTGGTAATGTTTTGTGCACCATATACTACTCATGAACAAGACAATAAGACTATGAGTAGTAAGCTGTGCTCGAAATGTCATCAGTAAATAAATAATGCTGCATCACTGTGTACTTTATCCACATAAAACTATTTTATAATGGAATTGCACACTACCACACACATTAGTTGTTATTGAAGGGCTAGTGTGATGGCAATGGAAGTTGTTATATGATATTGTTCAGCTGAGTATTTTTCGCGTTAATTATCATTATCATATCATATATCGTCCATGAACCATAAATTGTGCCTAAAATAAAACTGTATCACTGTGTACTTTATCAGAAACATTTTTTTCTATTGTGATCCAATTCCATTTTAACATTTATTATTATCGAATAGTAATCAACAGCACTTTATCATTATTTTGATTGTGTTGACTGAAGCAAGCTTTGTGTTTATAAATTTTAATTGATTTCACATGATGTACCAACTGTCTGTATAATATGAACAGTATCAGTAAGTGTTATACCTAGACGTAGGGTTCCATGCGGACATTATTCTCTCGAATGACTGAAAACTTTAGATTTTATTTCAAAGCATAAAGCAGGTTTTACCACTTATTAGTGACTGTGTATGTTATTTCATTGCTGCTGAAAATAAAAAGACATTTAACAATAAATACAGAACAGACAAAGAGTATCAAGGGAAGAAATTCTGGTGTTTATTGTCACAAGATCAGTTCAATTGAAAGGTTCAAAAAATTACACTGAAATTAAGATGAAATGGACGATTTTGTGCTTTACAGTAACCGCAAAAACCCCCACTAATATTACTCCTACTTCTACATCAGTCAAACAGTTTGTTCGCCTTTTTAAGCCAAGAATCCGTTACGAATAGGCGTAGTAGAATGATCCGTCTATAAAAATCCTTTCATAGATATCTCAAATAAATTTATAGTTACAACGCTTTTATCCTGAACTCTATATCATCATTGTAACGTTTGAGTATCTCTTTTTTTGCTGAACCCTTATTATTTGTCTTTGAATTTTCAGTGATCCCTAATTTAGACGTTTCAATAAACAAAGAAAGACCAGATTCACAGCATCAAGTGATATTATCATTCTAATTCACAGGTTCTCATCAGCTACACATCACTATCTGAAATTTCAGTGGTTATAAATAATGACCATAAAATATATCGAGTTTGACTTGACACTAGTAATTGGTATACTGTGTCTAGTCCTTTGTTTGGTGCAGGTTGAATTCTATCAGTCAAGCACAAAACCTGGTGAT